TATATATATATATATATTTATAAATGTGTGTGTGTGCGTGTGTTCAAACAGTAAATATAACAATATATTGATTGGGCGGTTTTTAACAGACTTTTAGGCTGGAAAACGTCGACTCTATCTGGCAACACGGGCCAAGACAGCCAGCCGCCATCTTGTTGTTGAGATAAAGCGAAGCAAGTTGGGTGTGGACGCTTTCTTTGAAAAAAGTCTTGGATATCTGACGGTATGAAAGTCGGACTATTCTAGATTAAATTTTAATCAGTGGAAATGGAAATTCGGTCTGTTCTTGTGTTGCTGGCGGCGGTGCTGAACGCTGTTCTGGCCGACGTTAAATACTTTGAAGTCGGCGGTGCGGTTTCTCTAAAGCCAAACACCCCGTCTGAAGGAATCAACGTCATCACATGGAAACATGGAGGAGACATCGTAGCCGACTGGATTAAAGGCGGTACGGTGGAATATTATGGAGCGTTCAAAAGCCGAACAACACTGGATTTATCCAGCGGAGTGCTGACCCTTGGATCCATGAGCAAGGCAGATGAAGGAGACTTCACTGTGGAGGTCAACAACAGGGTACAAAGTGTTGTGTATTCTGCCAAGCAGATCAAGAGCTTACTTTACAGCAATGTGGAAGTGTTGAAGAGACCTCTGACCTGCAACCACCTCTTACCCAAGTGTACCCTGAGCTGTATTACAGACAATACAGATGGTGAACCTTTTCAGTACTTCTGGAAGGAAGGAGACGGAGAGTGGATGGAGTTCACGAAGGACAAGGAGATAATCAACAATGATCAAATCAAAACGTTCTCCTGCAACATAAGTAACCCAATCAGTTCGAAGAAAAGTGATCCGCTGGACAATCCATTCATCAAACAACCAGATCAGCCTGTATCTCTGGTGGTTGGGATTGTTTTCCTGGTCATATTGGTATTGGCAGGTGCAGCACTTGCAGGGTTCGCCTACAAATACCCAAAGAGACTTGCACCTTGTATACCCTGTGTTGCTGGAGACCGCAACGAACGGCCCACTGAAGGTCCTGCAGCTGAGGACAAGGATGTGGCTTTACCCCTCACTAACTAATGAAACCCGAGGACCCCCCTGCTGTGTAGGTGGATCTGAATCTGCAGAACAAACTCTCTGGATTCATTCATTATTGAGCATGCATCAGGATATTCTCTGGATTCATGTTTTTTATTTTGCTTTTGTACCCCGAGACGACTTCTGTTGCGACTGGGCATATATAAGTAAACTGAATTTTTACTGCCGTACATCAAAATATGACGAAAGTTGTGCATTTATTTAGAATAAGAAGAGCGATGACAATGAATGAATGGGGAATTGCAAAATGACCCGTTTTAGAGCTTTAAGGTGCACCTGAAACCGACCGTGCCTCTCGGCTTGAGTTTTATCTTATTACAGTCGGTCACGTTTTCTGTTTATATCATGTTGTGTTTTTTTACTGATGATCATCATTTTTAATTCCATAAATCGAGTCTATTTTTAGAAGCGTAAAAAAGCAAATATATTTACTTTTTCTCTCCTGACTAACAGCTTGCAGCATTTATTCAGTCTCTGCGTCGTCTTAAAGGCAGCCAGGAAACACATCATGGTTCTGCTTTTGACATCCCCAGTGACTGTTTCCACTGAATCACCTCTGACTGCCGCAAACATTTGCATGAAAATAACGCAGAGTTGTTCGTGCTTTAGGGCGGCGTGTAACAGAAAAATGTAGACTTTTTGTAAATGTTTTAATTAGCTGTGCTGTGTGGATGCTTGAGCATTTTCCATTTATGCATCTTCAGCTTGTTTTAGTCTGTTTCCACAGTAAATGTTCAGCTGAAGGATGTTTGTCTTTCACAACATAACCCTCATAAATATTTTACGTGTTGTAGTCGACCAGGACTTCCATTAGGGTCTTTGGACAAAGGCACTGCTTAACTGGTCAATGAAAAAGGGATGAATGTTAAAGAAGGCTTTTGCACATTCTCTGTAAATTAAAAAGTGGATCATGTACAGAATGTATAATATGACTGCACGTGTTTCACAGCAGCAAAAGACAACTGCAATTTTTTTATGTTTTAAAGCCACTTTTTAATGTGCTGGTGAAGATTCTCAGTCATCCAGGACATGATGAATTCAAAAAAGCGTTCAATACAAAAACAACTGGACTTTATTTGTAACAGAAGACGTTTCGCTCCTCATCCGAGGAGCTTTCTCAATTCAGAGAGTGAGAGATTCAGGTTATAAGGCTAAATAACATGAATCTCTCACTCTCTGCTCTTTGAATTGAGAAAGCTCCTCGGATGAGGAGCGAAACTCCTGTTAGACTCCTGTTAGGCTGTTAGACTCATGAATCTCTAACTAGAATAATCACTGTGAAAAAACATATCATGTTGCTGCTGATCTGTTTCATGTTGCTGCTGATCTGTTTTATGTTGCTGCTGATCTGTTTCAATGTTGATGTGTTCATGCGTGCACATCTGCTCACAGACTCATGTTCACGTTTGTGCTGATGTTCAATGTTTTATGAGTGCTTAGTGTATATTTAGTTGTTTTTCTTAGTTCATATCTTAGATGTTATTACTGTTTTTCTTATACATTTTATTGTTGGATGTAACTGGGACCCCGTGTACATAATTTCGCTCCACCACATGTACCACATGAGGTGCGAATGACAATAAAGAAACTCTGACTCTGACTCTGAAACGTCTTCTGTTACAAATAAAGTCCAGTTGTTTTTGTATTGAACTTTTTTTTTAATTCACTTTTTAATGCACTGTTGTGTTTCTACTGTCTGATATTAAATGTGCCATTGTGCTGTGACTGTGATCATTCTTAAAGGCACCTTGTCCCCTTTGTATTATTTATTGTAATTAGTTTTTTTCTTTTATCGGGCATCTGGTAAGGATGCTCCCTGGGGGCCTCCATAGGGAGGTGCTATGGGCATGTCTCACTGGGAGGAGACACTGGGGACGCCTTGGGGTACTCCTGGAAGAGGTGGCAGTGGGAAGAGATGTCTGGGCCTCCCTGCTCAAGCTGCTGCCCCCGAGACCCGACTTCAGAACAAGCAGAAGATGATGATGTTTTATTTTTGTCCAATTTCATGAAAGTGAAAAGTGCCTTTAAAATAAAATCATTGCTTCACAGTCTGACAGACTAGATTTTTTCTTTTGGCTTTTCCCTTTTCAGGTGTTGCCACAGAGAAACTCATTCTCCTCCATCTCTATATTTTATATAGAATATATAAGATTATATAAGAAGCTCCTGTCAGGGGGTGAAACTCCCAACACAAACACGTGCACGCAGGTTTTGCGGGAAGTACACTAAAACTATCTTTTTTAGTTTTTTCAATTTTATTTATTTTTAATTACAAAACTATCAATTTTACAAACAAATGTCTGCCAGGGGTATATTAGGTACAAAAGTACACAAAAACTTTTTTTTTTCTCCAAGTTTTGAATCTTTATTTAATGTAGAAAACATAAAATATGAAACAACAATCAATTTATTAAAATGAAAAACAAAATGTATTTAAGTCATATTTTAGACTGAGCCAGTCTACCACATGTTGGTCCTGGGGCTCCTGGTGGTCCTGATGCTGGGCCTCACCCCTAAAGTACACAAAAAACTACTGCTGAGACTTCAGTGACGTCACACGCCCTACGCGCCTGAAACTGTCTAAATAAAGGTTAATTTATAATGTTTGTATTAATTTTGTTAATACTTTTATTGTCAATAAAAAAAAGTCTAAATATAGGTTGAATGAAAAACTTACGGGATTTCTCGACACACGCTCCGAAACTTTGGCAAGGAGGAGCCATCGCTACCTGTAAACCTTTCCTTTGACACTTGCTGCCACAACTTTGCCTGAAATCACTCCTGAAACGTTTCTCCCTACACTCAGCATTTTATATTAAATGTCCGTGATCATCTTCTTTTCTTTTTTTATTTTCGAATGCGAACATTTTCGAAGCGAATCCAAAAGACTTAACCATGATGAAGCACACTCCATACCAGTTGGTGGCGGTAATGAACCCATTCAGTTGATTTTTTTTATTTTGCCAACCGCCAATAAACTCAAGAAGAAGAAGTTCAGACGCTCGAGATCAGGTTGTTGCCCGCTCGCCCTCCTTGGCATGGATATTGAAGCAGCCTTTCAAACCGTCGGTGAGTTTGGACCCTATCAGAAGCGAGCGGTGACTGTCCTCGTCCTGGCTCAGGTTGGTGTTTGTAAAAGTAAATATTGTTTGAAAATGTGAAAGAAAGCAGAATGTTAGCTAATGTAGCGCTACGTGGCTCACGCGCTGCCGAAGGAGGCTGAAATCCTAACGTCAGACTAGCTAGTCCTCAAAACCATTCCGACCGAATTTATCGTAAAGTTTTTATGTATTTGCTGACAATGGTTGTTTGGTTAACCATTTATCCTGTTTTCAAAATGTTGATGATTTATGAAATGATGTTTATGACTGAGTTTCAGTATTGTGTCAAACAGTTTTCGTTTAATTTACCCCGCATGTTTATGACCTCGGGTAAATCTGGGAATGTTTAGTTGAAATGAGCCCAACTTAATTCAGTGTATTTCTGTAGCTCAAAGTCCCGACAGACGTCTCAGGGCACTGAACAGAAACATTAACATAGCCTATATTATAAAATGCCAATTAATAAAAGTTATCTAATGAGTCAGCAGATTGTGTTGAATCTTCACTTTGTCACAGTCTCCCATTCTGAGCAAGCACAAAGGAGACAGTGGAAAGGAAAACTCCCTTTTAACAGGAAGAAACCTTCAGCACAGTGGTCAGCAACTTTTACAATCAAAAGAGCAATTACTGCCCCTTTGTTCACCAAATTAATTATGTCTGGAGCCACAATACCTGCTACAACTGGGATTCTCAACTGGTGGCCCACGGACCACTTTAAGTTCGTTGGAGGGGGCTTTTCTGGACAGTAGGGGTGATTTAATAAAACTACAAATATCTAATGAGTTTTAACATTGGTTGATATTTTTACATTCTAAGACAAAATAAAAGATGAGTTCTATGTCATATAGGCTTCGCCCTTTAAGGCTGTCGCTTAGTGGGTTTATCCCGTTATGCGCAAGCATCATACTGAAAAAATTAGTCCACGCCCACCTGCTGTGTGGGCCCCACCCGATCCGTATAAATTACATTAAGAGCGGGTAATCTGCTCCCATTTTTCTTCAGCAAGCTAATAAAACAAAGAACAACTGACCTTTTCGTCGAGATGTCCAGCTCCAGCACCATCCGTTTGTGTCCCTCTTGCAAGACCGGCTACTTGCTTAGCTTCGACCGGCACGACACCTGCGAGGGATGCCTGGGTCCCCGCCACGTCGCCCGCGCTTCTTCCTGCCGCCTCTGTGACGAGCTTCCACCGGAGGAAAGGCAGAGGAGAGCAGCCTTGTTTAAGGCTACCATCGAGGACTGCCTGTCCGTGGCGGGAGACTGTTCGCTGGACGACGCCATGGATTTCTTCGACGCCGGCTCTCAGAGTGAATCGGATGATTCCTCTGGGACCGGTGACGCTAGCAGCAGCCCCGACGCTCGTTCCCCCCCGGGGAGCACAGTGTTGGAAAGAGGGAGGCCGAGCGGATGCTCGACTCCCCCGGGGTTTCCCGCTTCAGCGACCACATCGCTCCCTGCCGTGGGCGCGCTCCTCTCGGAGCTGCCCGCCATTATCCGGGAAGCTGCTAGCGTTAAGGGGCTCTCCGTCCCCTCACCCCCCCCGCTCAGATCGGATGATCTTGCGGGAAGGTTTGGCTCCACGCCGGCTCGCCGTCCTGATCCCATTTGGCCTCGTTTTCCAGCGGTGACAGCGTACTGGAACGAGGCCGCAGCCGGTCCTGGTAGGTTAAGGGCGCCCGTCTCCACTTACGCCCCCATCACCAGAGTGGAGGGGTTCACCGAGCGGGGCTATCCCTCGGTACCCCCCCTTGAGCCAAGCCTCGCGGAAGCCTTCGGAGCGAAGATGTCCAGGCTGGAGAAGCGTCCCGTCCCTCCGGGGAAACACGACCAGGTGGCGACCGCGCTCTCCAACAGAGCTCACCAGTGTGCTTTTCAGGCGGCCGCGGCTAACAACAACGTGGCGCTGTTAGCATTTAGCATGTCGAAGAGGCTGGAGGCCTCAGACCTGCCGGAGGAGACAAAGAGCTCCCTGTGTAAATCGGCAGACGCCGTCCTCAACATGTGCGCCGCTTCCACGGTTTGCCTGTCGAGGATTGCAGCATGGATGACGGTAATCCAACGCTCCATCTGGCTCCGTCACTCTCCATTGCTGCCGGAAAAGCTGCACAAGGACCTCATGGAGGGCCCCATCTCATCGGACGCGCTGTTCGGAAGCAGCTTGAAGACCATGCTGGCGAATTCTAAGCAGTCGGAGGAGATGTCGGAAGCGGTACGCCATCTCATCAAGCCGCGCGGCTCATCCCGTCCCCCAGCCCGCTGGAGAGACCGTCGGGAGCAGAGGCAGAAACACCGACGCTCCACGGCAGCAGCAGCTTCGTCTCGCCCAGCTCCACCACCAGCCCCGCCCGCCAGAGACCACCCCTCCTCAGTCCGG